GAGCTACCTGCAGCAAGGTTTTTATCTCCAAAAAGCCATTTTGCAACCAGTTAGAGGTACACAAAGTCGCCTGTTTTTGAAACACTTTATTGTTCGTAAAACACTCAAGCTTCATGGTATCAACGCGCAAGTTAGCTCATTCCATGGGAGATTTCAAGCTCTTTAAAATGGTTATACTTATTCGTAGCTCAAGAACAAAATGAGTCTCTCAGAGGGGAAAAAGATGATATTCCTAGTTAAAGAGTGACGCAGCTACTAACGCATGCATTGATTTACTGAACAAAAAATATTAATAAAAAGCATAAACATTGGTTAGTATTGTGTGTGAGTTTTGTTTCCATGAATTGTATTCTCTTGGAGTTATTCAAGAATAAAGCAAGAAAATCTCTGTTTCTTGCTCCAAAATCGGTCAAAAAAATCCCAACCCTCCTCTGTTTACTTAGCAACAATACAAATAAATGGAGGTTTGCCCACGCCCACGCTTCCGTTTCCAATCCCTTTCATTTACTCTATTATCTATGGCTGGTGTGACATTATAACAACCCCACCCCATTATTAATCAATTACTATAAACTCCATGTGTTCAATACGTAGTTTCTCCACTCCAGCCCCGTACAACTCACGAAGTATACAAACCATTCTTGTTTTCTTTCCTGCACCCGACGGGCCATAAATCAGCAAATGAGGGAAATCATCAGACTGGACCTAATGAAGGGAGGGGCAAAAAAGACAAATTTTCTGTCATAATTAATTATTCTAATTTTTACCAGTCTTTCAAACTGGCAGCTTGCTCCTGATGATAATGGAGTTTATTAAGGTTGGTTGGTCTGTACTTATCTACCCATAGACTCATTTTGTACTCTGAAAACTCCTTGAAAGGCTCTCCCGTGTTGTTATCATGCTGCAGCAATTAAAAGGTGTGGCTGAATATAGGCGTGGCTCAAGTTGACCCGCCCACTCAATATTCCCATGACTTCCTTTCCCTCTCTCTCTCTCTGTCCTCTCTATTCTTATACAGGGTCTGGTAGTGTCCTTATTTTCCATTGGTTGTTTCATTGGTGCTTTAGTCTCAGGAGGTACACTACAAATCATGTGATAATCATATGACATGTATATCATTATTTTGTAGCATTGTCTGATCCAATTGGTCGGAAGCTATCAATCATTGTGGGTGGAGTAGTCTTTTTTATTGGAGGTGCCTTGCTAGCAACTTCTTTTAATTTATGGTAATTGTATGTATAATTGCTTTGATGTACATTGTATACTACACGTGCATGATATGTACATGTAATTAGGATTTTCTTTTTAACTGTACAAAAAGCATCAATTATAAGTCAGAACTATAATAGTTGTTATTGGACGACAAGAGGAAGCAACTTCCTATGAATTATAGAAATTACCTATGAAAGCTATTCTTTTATGCACAATGTAATCATCACTACTATGCATGTACATGTGCGTGCATGTATGTCTCTTTTATTATTCTATCCTCTCCCTCCCTTTTATACTCTTTCCTTCAGGATGGTATTGGTTAGTCGAGTGGGTGCTAGGATTGGCGTAGGGTAAGTTCCCGTACTTTATGTGTACATGTACTTAGAACCTTTTTTCTCCTTATATGTACATGTAGTATATTGAGTATGATTGCTCCTGTATATAATGCTGAGCTGGCACCAAAGACTTTAAGAGGAAGGCTAGTCTCATTGAACCAGCTCTTCATCACAGCCGGCATAATGGTAATAATAATAAATTAATAATCAAGAGTACATATAATAATGATAATGATACCTACAGTATTCTCTTGGTAATAATAGTTAGATTTAGATTAGTAATGAGTTAATGACATACTCTAATGCCAAACACACTTTCCTAGTTGTGACACTTTTACTATTCTTAACTTTATTAATGGTTCTTGAATATTTGTCCTTATTCTCTTTCTATTAATTTATCCCCACCTCTCTCTCCCCCCTCTCCCTCTCTCTCTCTTTCTCTTTCTCTCTCTCTCTCTCTCTCTCTCTCTCTCTCTCTCTCTCTCTCTCTCTCCCCCTCTGAGCATATGTTTTACATGTACATGTCAATGCATAAATAATTCATTAAGTGCCAAACCAAAACCCAGCCCTAATTAATAATATCACCTAATAAATAATAATCACCTAAAAAGCACATGGTCAAGCACATGTTAAGTTTATAGTGCCAGGAGAAAAGAAACCAATACCTTCCAGTATGTAGTGGTAAGCCCAGTTGTGTTAGATAATAAGCATAGGCCCTGTATATCTAGTGTCAGCACACATGTAACTGTACAAGCCATATTGGTAACAACAGCTTTTTGAGGCAGGCAGGGAGGTGAGAGTTTGGCCATTAAAAACGTTTTAACCCCCAGTTCCGGTTCTCAAGACCGGACTGCCTAGCCTGCTGTTCACCACGGCTTTCATGCTAACACAGTAGTTGTAAAAGTTTGTTTATATTGTCACATGGTATGACGACCATTGGTGTCTCTGAGTCGTGAAAAGAGGGTCGAGGGCGAGGTGCTGGGT